AATAAGGCACATTTTCAACATAGTACTAATATTATTAGTTGACTAATATTTCACTATGATTATAATTAAAATAAATATATATATATTCTATAAAAATCATCGATGCACAAAAAGCACGGTATAAATTAAAATCATAGAAAAAAGATTTTTTTATAATTGTATTCTCAATTACCACAAAAAAATTCCTTTACAATTTTTGTTCATTTTTCGCCACACATCCTGTATATAGTATATATACTGGGAGTCCGTGTGTGTCGGCTCGCATTACACCTATTGAATTATTGAGTAATTCGGATAAAATACCTTTTTTGAGGTAAACGTTCTATTCGGCAATAGAAAAAGGTCCTTCCGCTTTTTGAACGTCACCATTGTAGTCAACTGGATAATAGGAAGTACAAAGTGTGCAAAGACCTAAAGATGCGATTCTTAAAGGACGATTTGAAGATATCAAAAGACCACTGGAATAAAGTAAAATGGATAGGCTAAGTTGGCCGTGGATTTTTGGAGGGTGATTAAATGATGAGGTGAAATGCGTATGAGCCACTATTTTGCCATACACTATGCTAAAATTATATGAAATTTTTAGACAGTTCATATTTAATGTATCCTAAATGCATTTTTATATTTTTTGTTGTGTGTTCCAATATATTAGTATGGGGAAAAAGAAATCTGTTTTTTGTATGAAATTTCATGCCAATCTAATATATTTTTATACCAATTTTATCTTGTACTAACAATAAGTTTGTTGAATAAATACTACAAGTACCTTATTTATTAAAATAATTAAAATTATCTGTTTAACTAAATTTTTTGTATACCAATGTCAGTTGCAATTTTTCAGACCCTAGTCAAAATTTATGATTGAAAACCCTTTTTATTAAAATATTGTAAAATGATTCATATGAAATATCGTATATTTCATTGTCATATATAATAAATCTAAAATAAGTGCTTATATTTGTATGAATAGTGAATTTACTAATAAAAACTTTATTTATGTTCATCTCCAAGAACGAAAACTTAATAATCAAACACCGTCGACATAAGTAAAAGTAATTTTCTTTTGGAACTACTTTAATCGGATGCACTGTTATCTCATTTTTTACTAGACCGCGGGATCTGCCATCAAGAAAGTGCAATCATTTATTCACTCTTTCAATACGAATCGAATGTTTTTTGAATCATTCTTATCGGATATGTCGAACTTTCAGAAACTATTTTTGTGAAGCTTTTTTCTCTGTATCTTTTGAACGGATAAACCTGCCTTTGCCAAAAACTAATCAGCACGTCTCCCTATTAAAACGAAGCGAATATTTTTTTTTATTTTTTCATGTCGGTTGATCCGAGATTCCGAAATCGTCTACGAAAATTTGTATCAGCATATGAGCATACACATATGCACATGAATCCATTTTTTTCTAAGGCATGCCAAAGATATATAAACATTTTCATTCTCGATTTTTTTTGCAATCACTCTAACTTACCCTACGAAAGTTAATTGAACACAATTTTATAAAAACCATTTCAATTAACATGGAAAAATTAATTTGAAGCTTGAATTTTCTAATTATGTTCTGATTATTATTTATTGACGAACTTTTAATTGGTAACATACTAAAATAGCAATTAATTTTTAATGTTTATTTATAGTGATTTACAGATTATATAAGATATTAACTAAAGTTTACAAAATGGAAGGTCACCATTAATTTGTGAATTTATTTGCTACCATAATAAAAAATGGACAGAATTTATACAGCATTTTGTAACACATTCCCCAATTGGGAAAGAAATCGAAACTATTTTTTATTTATAGTTTTTTCGGAGAGTTTTTTATTTATAATTTTTAAAATATAAAGTAACTTTTTTAAGTAACTTCTATTCAAATAAATCATTCGGATATTAATATATATATATAATAAATTAGATCCAACATATTTTCTGAACAAAGCAAATAAGTACTTGATTAATATGTTTGTATGTCATAGGAATAACCAGTGGTGTCGAGCCCGAACGCACCAGAACGTTGTTCTGGCAAATCATTTTTGGGCCGGAACGCTTTCGGCAAAAAAAAATTTGAAAAAAATCGCTACATTCAGAAAATGATTTGATAAGTGAATTTTATAATTTATAATATAACTAATTTTCATTAAACGATTATATTATTTAATAAACAATATTTGTAACAATTTGTAATGATTTTGGTTTCTTTCCTTTTCGAACGGAACCGGAACAAACATGAGAACCGGTTTTTGAACCGGTAACTCTATTATTAATATTAACCTGCACTAAATGCTCTAATTTAATAAATATGATATCATTTAAGTATATGTATTTTCTCCAAAATCACTTTCTATTTTATAAAATGCGAAAGGGAAGTGTAAGTTAAATTGGCGCATGTATGGAGTCTGTGCGGCCGCGGGTTTGGGCCTCCCAGGAGCCGTCCTGTCGCGAGAAGCCGGTCGATAAAACGGGAAGCCGGGCCACTCGACGGTTCCTTGTTTAACCACTCTGCATGCTGTTTAGTTTTATAAAACCAAATGGAAAATGGACTCATGTAAAAAATAATCATGGTTTACATTTGGAAAAATTTAAAGTTGATATTGAACCTCAAATAACAAATAAAAATTACGGGCAAAAATGAGAATTAATGTAAGGGAGCGTCCATTAATCACGTGGGGGGAGGGGTATAGTGAGATATCACGTGTATTTATTTTTTACCTGAATTTAAAAAAAATCAAAACACTTGGAACAAAAAATTAAAAAAAAAACATTTTTTCCGCAAATACAAATACACGTGATGAATAATTATTGTTTCAGTAATTTGAATATTTCTTTATTAAGATTTAATACATATAAATTATAAAAATATAGTAAGGTTAGTTCTATATGAAATTTTCAACAGATTGAGGAAATGTATTGAAAAAACTCGATTCATAATTTATTGGAATACTCGATGCGTCATTTTATGTTTTTTTTTTCCTTTTTTTTAACTCTGTTTTATTTTGCAATCAGAAATGCATAAGGATTCCTATAAGCTAAAATTACAATATTTGAGAGCGATATCTGAGAATAGCTCCAGTGAGATCTTCTTAGTTTAACAATTGAAAAGATAATGTTATATTGAAGCTAATCTAATACTAAATATAAAGGCCATTGACGTTTCAATCTTCTTACGCCAAATGGTTGGGTAATGTCGCCTATTCATGGGTTTGAATGTGGTAAAAAATAATTTAAATGCATGATTTATAATATAAAGTAGGTATATGCATATTCAATTGATAACCAAAATAAACTTCAAAATAATTTTGATACTATGATAAAAATCACATATAGATAGTATTCGTAATCATTATATTTTCAAAACATCATTGGCTCTATCATCTATGTTTACACAAATAATTAGTTCAAACAATAGACCGGCTGGGCTTTATTTGAACAATCTTATTATCGGAAATATTTCCAATGCACCTGTAAAAATATTAAGTGTTGATAAAAAATGCTTGAATGAAATTAGACATTAATTATACAATGCGACGACTCATTTGAATTAATCTAATGCAGACATGTTTATGAAATACGGGACAAACATAAATAATAAAGCGATAAATGTGCACTGTTTTTGAAAAAGTTCGGATTGGTAAATGATAAAAATATTTTATTGATATATTGTTTGAGAAATATTGTTGTATGTTTTCGATTAGCGATCTGATCAAGTGTGTTTATAAAATTTATTTGGTTTTGTTTTACGTTAATGGAAAGAATTATTTAACAAATAAATGATTACAATTTAGTGACACATCAAGCAATCAGTTCTGATTGTTTTAAATAATATCGTGTAAATGATTAATACAAAATTATCACTATAAAATCATTGATAGCAATTGCGTTGTTAAATAGTTTCCTGTTTGGCATATTCTTAATTTAGTTTTACATGAATTACGTAATAATTATTTTATTGCTAACGCCATCACCAATTTAGACATACGAGTACAACTAAAATAATCCGCTTACAAATTTTATTGCCCTCAAAGTTCAAAAATGCAAAATAAATTATTAAAAGAAATTTTGAATGCATTAAATGTTACGAAATATAAGGAACTCATTCACGAAAGTACAAAAACGCCTCGAAGATAACCCCAACTGCCACAATTCTAGCAGCGTTATATTGAAAAGGAAAATTATTTTACATTGATTGCAGTCAATCTGAAAGTCACTGTCATTAATCAGATTATTTTACATTTTTTAAGCCTATTTTTGTTCTTAAAATTTGACTTGTTCATGACTTGTTACACATTTTAGGATAGGTGTAAAAATTATTGTAATATAATAATAAGTGCTATAACTATTAAAAATTGTTAAATTATTAAAATGGAAAATTGCTCGTTATATATTTAGACAGCCAGAGCACTTAATATGTTCATTGGAATTCAACATTGATTATTCAGAATTATTCGAAAAATTTCAAACCTAGTAAAATCACCTTATTAGTGTAGATAGTATTACTAATTAAACTAAATGTTATGAAAAAATAATTTAAAAATCAATTATAAACTTTTAAATAAATTTATACATTATGTATTCGGAAGTTCCAAGAAATAATTTCATTTCCAGAAATAATTTTGCTCATTGTTAGGGGCTTATTCTATATTCTATTAATCACGTGATCGATTTTTAAAGATTTAGACCCTTTCCTTCCCCTTGGCTAGGAAATATGTGGTAATATTAAAATTAACTCCTCCACCACTACCCAATCTTGTTGTACCTAGAAAAAAACATAAAATTTTTGGATTTTTTTCAAAAATAATGGATTTTTTATAAATTCAGGTAAAAAATAAAGACACACATATCCTGGACCTTAGTGAAAAAAATTAATTTTCATGAACAAATGAATTTGATGAAAGTGAATGATTGCAATATAATGCATTTATTATTTACATTTACAAATATTTCATTTGCCATAAGCATTCAGATGATACTAATAATAATCTTTCTTGCAGGATTTTCACAACTGAAAACGTCGTTTTCATCGTCGCAGAATCCATGTCTGTCTGGTGAGTCAATGAAAAATATGTACGAAAAACAAGATTATTAAATAAATACATTCACCGTAATTTGAATGTCGCACTTGTACACGGGGCATTTGCATAAATCGTAATTAGAATTAAAAAGAAGGAAAGGATTTTCATACTTCACAGACACCACTACAACACACCCTTATATTCATATATTTATATCCTTATCTATGTGTATATATATTTTAATATGTGTGTGCATTTATATAAAGTTGGAATATTTTTTACTTTAATGAGCGAGTATTAAAACGAGTTAGGTGCCGTTGAAAATATGAAAAAGGACGAATAAGGAACTGAATCGTCTCTATGAATATTCATTTATCCTTGCTTACGCAGTTGAAATGAATTCGTTAGCTCTAATGAAATAATGTGCATGTTAATTTTTTAATTTGAATAAAAATTCTGAAATTCATATTCTGCAACTGTACGTAAAGCATAACAAAGGAATGATATCGCTAATGGGATGATAAATAGAATAAAAGATTTTATGGATCAAAAATGTAAAGGTCAGATACACACACAAAAATACAAACACATATATATATATATATATATATATATATATATATATTAGGGTGGTTCTTAATATGGACATTTTTGAATTTTCTTGCTCTCAAGGGCTTAAATGGTTCCAAATTGATAAACAATTATCTGAAAGTTTTAGCTCTTAATATTGTCTTTTAAATAGAGTGCAATTCAATCAAAGTTTTATATGAAAATAACATGAAAAAAATTTCAAAAATTTTGCAGAGCGTCGAATTTTCTATAAAAAATGACACAAATTTTCGCTTTTAATTCATTTGTCGGTAAGTTATACCTAAAAAATTTTTTTTCAATTTTCAAATTTTATTTCATGCTATTTCCAATACGAAGTTTGATTGAATTGCGCACTATCTAAAAGTTAATATTAAGAGCTGACACTTTCAGAGAATTGTTTATAAATTTGAAACCATTTGAGCTTTTGGGAGCAAGGAAATTCGAAAATGTCCATATTAAGGACCACCTTAACATATATATATATATATATATATATATATATATATAATTTGGGTGTTTGTTTATTTCATTAATTTATTAGTTTGTAAACAATATCAACATCGGGTTTGTTTCTTATTGGAACAATGGCATATGACATTTTGCAAATCAAATATATATTTATATTTACATTTATATAAATATTCATGTGTGTTCACAAATTAAAAACAGTTTAAATGAATAGATTAATTTAAAACAATTAATTTTCCAAAAAAAAATTACAAAAACCAAGTAAAACGCTGGTGATACTACACTTTTTTTAAACATATCTCCAAAAAGAATATTACAATAATAAGTTCAGTGTAATCAAAGATCCTGCAGGATTTGAATATTATTTTTTTTTTATTTAGAAAATTTAATTTAAAATTTAATTGAATAATTTGTTTCTAAGACATTTTTTGATCAATATTTTCAGCTAAAAATGGTTCATTACTATATCAATATATTATATTGTCAACAGAGCGTGATCTATCTCGAATATTTGTTGCTACATCACCTACTCTATAATTAATTCTACTTGCCAAATGAAAGAATTTTTTTCATGAAAGTACCATTTAAAACTACAAATGTAAATTGACACTTATTCAAAAAAAAATCTTATATATCTGGAACCGACATAATTTAAACACGACGTTTACTACTAACATGAAAAAGAAGTTTCGTGTGTGAAGTATATTTGTTAACGGTAGTGAAATTGGGAGCGTGTGTTTGCGAATGTTTTCGAATTTCAATTGAAATAAACAGCTGAATTTTTTACATTGTTTTATAGTATGTATATAAAAACCTGCGGGAATTCGGAGGCAGTCACTCTATTGTACAGTATGCCAAATCCACGCCTCAAAATGGTAGTACGTAAGGTACAAGACCGATTTATAAATATTTTAACAAACTATTCTTATGTTACTGGTATTAAGGTGACCATATTTTTTAAATCAAATCCGGGACGAAAATTTTAATTACGGTAATCCGTGACGGGGGGGGGGGGGTGTGTCTTTAAGATTACAAAAGCTATTTGAGGATACAATTAAAAACAGTTTTTTTTATTTGAATCAAGTTTTTTAATCAAAATCGCGGACTTTTAGCAAGAACTTCGTTATTAGATTACATGTAATACTTTTCAATATATATTATATAATATCTTATGTTTTTCGATCTGTTTTTTTTTGCTTATATAAAATTTTTTTTCATCAGTTCGAAATAATTAGCACTTGTTTGTTTGTTTTAATAATTTTTGTGTGTTCACCAATTAATTTTCGAAACCCCGGGACAATCCGGGACAAAAAAACTAATTCCGGGACAAATATTGCTTCAAGAAAAACCCGGGACACAAGGTGAAATCCGGGATTGTCTCGATTAAACTAGGACGTATGGTCACCTTACTAGTATACAAGTAACAGTTATTATTAAAAGAAATTGTACAGAAAAAATTACTTCGGACCCTTTATAAGCAATGCGGTTTAATGATCATGGTAATATAGTGCGCTGGCTGGCTCAATGCAATAATGGAAACTTGTTCGAACAAACGTACTTCATTTTCCTCCTTGGAAATAAGGAATAATAAAGCCCTATCTCAAAATCAGTATAGTTTACCCTGGCATAACCATACCCAAAAAGTAACAATTATTAAAAGAAATTGAACAGAAAAATTTACTTTGGACCTTTATAAGCAATGCGGTTTACTGATCATGGTAATATAGTGCGCTGGCTGGCTCAATGCAATAATGGAAACTTGTTCGAACAAGCATACTTCATCTTTTCTCCTTGGGACCTTATCTCAGAATCAGTATAGTTTACCCTGGCACAGCCGTACCCAATCTCCCATAACGGTATAAGTAATAAACTAATGGAAACATCAACATTAATAATATAACTTCTATTTGAAAAATATTCAATTACGGACGTCTTCCGTACAAACCTGGTGCGTACAAAAATAAAATTCTTGAACAAATAGGAAAATTGGCTTCGTTATTCGCAAATGGCATTTTAGAGAGGACCGGATAAGGTCGTTATTCGTATTCCGTAACGTTTTACAAATTCACTGAGCGAGTCGCCCTTATGTTTTCGTATCTGGCAGTATGCAGACAACAATAACAATCTCTATTATTGTATTTACCGAGTAAATGAAATTAATGTTGATTTTCCGAGAGCCGCAATGAGAATATGACAATTAAAATACTGAAGGAATAATAATAATTATATCATTACGCACGTGATAGCGCCATAACGAAGTGTTATTATTTTAATAACCGTATTCTGAACAATTCTGAAATGTTTTCTCGGCTTTTGTTCGAGGAAGATATGGAGAAATGCACGTAAATGCTTTCGTGATTGTGGGACATTAACATGATCATAATTTTGGCACAAAGTTATAATTAAATCTATATTTATATATTTATTCATCTGTTCACTATTAATTATTAATTATGGTGGTGCGAAAAATCTTTAAAACCATATCAAATAAAAAATTAGAATTGAGCTAACTCTTACTTTGGAACTTATAGTACGTTTACTCGAATTTATTATCGTAAATTATGCACTTTTGTGTAATTACCTTTGTTATTATATCTAAAAATATGTGAGCGAATATAAAAACAAAGATGAATCGATTTTTGTGAAAGTTGTTAGGTTTTGTATAGATTTCATCTATTTCTCATCACGTGTAATATTTCTGGCAACAGAACCTACCAGAACTATTAAATTATTTACTAAATTGTAGCAACGATGCACAATGAAGTATATAAGATCATTGATAGCATATAAAATACACAGTATATATATATATCATTGAAATATTAGAACAACTTGAATATTATTTATCATGATCTAACAAGTAGTCTTTAAAAAAACAAAAACTATCTAACTAGCAGAGGCACATTTTTTAAATGTGATATTAAAATGAGTCAATATATATATTTATTATAAGTAGTTGATTTTGTGAAAAAGTTTTTTTTTTTTAAATCGTGATATGAAACTTTTTCTTAGCAATTTACAACATTAACTGATCAACTGAACCCGTTTGCTTTATTTATTATTTTTACTATTATTAACTTGAGCCACTTCTTAGAAATCCGAACAACAAAATAAAGTTGTATTCATAATTGCAATATTATTTTCGGCCGACAAAAACAATGGGGTATCAAAATCAGAAAACTCAACATTGTATCAAAGCTCGTAAAAAAGGCATAAAAATAAAATAAAATGCAAATAAAAAACTCGGCTTAAGTGATAATTTTGCAATGTGCAGGAATAACGAGAGTTTTTTCATGCCTATCACGAGATATTACGTCTAACGTATTGGAAGTAACAAGATTTAAAATTCAAATCAGTCGCCTTTTTACTATGTTGTATAAACGTTAATTTAGAAAAGATAATCTAAAAAATACAGTCAAGCGTAATTGAATCATCTTTGAATAGTACTCTTAACTATATATTTTATTAAATATTACAGGGTCCGGCACTCGAAGTGTAACCAATTGAAAAAGCCATAAATTCAGTTTACTTTTACTCGATTCAAAGTACAAAATGTGTAAAAATGATACAACATTTAAAAACAATTCACGTTTGCTCGATATGACCACCTTTTGCTTTGACTATGGCCTTTAGAAGGTCCAAAAACAAATCGCATTTGGCCGAACGTGGAAAATTTCCGAACATTGTGTTTTTCGACGAGAAAATTTTTATATTTGAGCAATTCGTAAACTCTCAAAAGGATAGGGTTTACTTGACCGACAGTTTAGACAAGAATTTGAGTCATCAATTGGCCACCAGGAGGCAGCACCAGCCACAGAAAATGGTTTGGGCTACTGTAACCGCAGATAAGCGATCTTCAATCGTTTTTATCGAGCCTGACGCGAAGGTAAATGCGCAATATTATTGGTAAAGTATTCTGAAGGTTGCTTTGAAGCCATGGGCAGATAAACACTTCGGTGGCAGACCATGGACGT